ATTCATATCTGTTTTCCTCCACGGAAATTATTAAAACCCATCCAATAATTTGAAAAGTAGTTGCTTGCATTTTGAGGCAGCATCATGTACTCATTTCAAGATAAAGTGTTAATCTTCAAAAGATGAGAACTTTTTATGATGTTATAAAAAGGGTTTTTTCAAACCTCAGAATAGTGGTTGAACTAGTTGGTGGTTTTCAAAGACACCTCCAGGTTCCGAGAGGGGCCAAGGAAGCAGCAGCGGGACAGAGCGCAGGACTACAGGGACACCCCACCCCACCTCAGCCCCGGCTCTGTTTCCACCTCTACTGCCTCATGGTTCCAGGTCCAGCACTGTTTCAACCAGGTTACGAGGAGGTACATGATGATCCCTAAGGTCCCTCTGACCTAGCAGCTATGAATTTTTATTTCCAATCATTTCCAAGAACAGAACTTCAAGCTAAAAGAGTTGTGTAATAACAGAGGCACGTGGTAGGATAAAGAAAACATGAAATACAACAGCATAAAAAATTAATCTTTCCTATGTTTTCCTAAGAAATTAGACATTTCTAATTAAATAGAATGAAAAATACATTTAAACAGTTAAACCCCTTCAAACACTGAGATATACAGTAAAAGACAAATCAGCAGGAAAAATTATTCAAACCTTGTCCCAGAGAGACAGAGCTTGGAGATCTGCTTAACAGCAGAAGCACTGATTTTCTCCGAAAGGGCCCCTTTTCAAAGCAAGGGAAGGCTCAGAACATAAATGTGAATTAGGATATGTAGACATCACATGACTGCTTCTGTTCAGGACTTTGGTTCCTGTGCATACAGGAGGTTACCCTTTTGGTGTCAGTAAGAGTTGACAATCACCTGCATCTATGTAGGAAATCAAACAATAGCAGTACGGAGGTGGCTACAAGAGCATAGAGCATGACTGGCTACTATTGCACTGTCACAGATGTGCCATCTTTCTCAATGAAATTTGGCAGCCATCATCCACTGGTTGGAATTTTTAAATACTTATTCATAAAAGCTTATAACACAACAAATATTCATGTTCCTTAGGGGAAAATGTTTCTAAACATTCTCAACATTTTTCTGGATATAATAAGATATGTTTTGTGAATTATAACAGCTTTAGAAATAATTGTACTATAGTCCCATAAGTTGAAACAAATTTTTAGCAAAATATTTTTTCAGTGTATTTTAGGAATTGCTTTTCATCTGCAATGTAACAGCTATAGAAGAACAGCTTGTGGAGAGGCTCTAGGAGACACTTCATTCAATGCCTAGGTTCCATAATCAAAGAATGCACAACTGAATGACCATGGAAGGTATAAAAAGGCAAGGAATGAATTAAGGGGTGGGTGGATCATAGACTTAACTTTTGCCTAGTTACGTGAGATATTCTGAGTGTGAAAGAATAGAATGCAAAAAAGTGATTTCCAATTTAAGTTAATGACTATGCTTACATTCTAGTCTACTGGTCTTTCATGATAAAGAGATAAGCCAATTAAAGAGGAAGAATTCAATCCATATTGTGTAAAGGGGAAGACATTTCTCAAATACTAAGGTTAAAAAAAGTTAATTCTCAAAATTTTGCAGGTGTTTTTCCTTCTTCATTAAGACAAAAGTGGCTAGAGATCATTTTCCATAATTAAGGCAGAGATGTTTGGGCAATGGAGGTATTTCTGTTAGTGGCTGTAACTTCTTCCTGTACATCAAGCTCCTTTACTTCATTTAAAGTAATTGAATAGCATAGCTTCCCCCATTCCAAACTAAAAATGGCATCAATGAAACTCATTTCCTATTTTAGAAAATGACTAATAGAATACATATTTCCTATCACATGATTCAAATAATTTAATACAAGTAATTAAAACCACTTCTGCAGTTGTCCTAGAATGACAACTAACATACTTCGTTGATCGTTCATTTATCAGACCACATACATATGAAAGAAAGAAAATCTTTTCATGTTTCATGAAGAGGGAGGAAGGTAAAACAAGATCTTACACAGTGTAAAAATATGGTGAAAGTGAATTCTCCAAAGAAAATACTGCATTAGGAATTAGACTTGTGTCCTTCTGAGGGCGATTCTCTACTCACATTTTCTTGAACACAGTTAAGTGCTATAACATGAAAATATAAAACAGATCCACAGCATTTATTAAAATGCTCTTTAAAATATTTTTTCAAAATTCCACATAATAGGAAACTTTCTAACTACCATATTCTGAAATGTATTAGGTAAGTAGGTAATGAAAGGTATTAACTTAATAGAGTTGATTCTTTTGCCTGTTCTAATAAGGATTTGCTTTATGTTGAGATAAGTTGGCAAAGTCTTCTCTACATGGAAGTCTAGGAAACTCCTGAACAGACTGTAAATTATGTATCCACTGACCAGGAAATTTTACCCTTGACATTTCTGGTTTTGTTGCCCATTTTGGGGGCCTGAAGAGAGGATGCAGGCAGGGCAGAGCAGTGCAGTGTCCTCTCAACCCTACAATCAGGAAGATTCTGGCACAAAGGGGAATGCAACCACCAGGCAGGGATCAGGGTGGGGCGAGTGAGACTGAGCTAGGCAAGTGCAGGGGAAGGGCCTGTCCTCACTTCAAATTGCGTTATTTTGTACACCGTCTGATTTCTTATTTTGCATTAATTTTGACTTTCTAAAATATTGCACTACCACGGTTTTTGTCACTCAGTTGAATTCCGCACCTGTGGTGAGTGCCTCATTCACTCACCCTACTCTGGTCACCATGCTCTAGCAGCATGTGGGCAGGTCTGTGGAACCACCTGGAGTGTGACCTGCCTCAGTCCTGATGGGCCAGGGAAGGGTCATACAAGAACTGCATTCACCCTTCTTGCAAAAATGAAAATGAATGTACAGACAAGAGTCCTCTTTGTCTCATAGGGAACCAACAGGAATGTCAGGAAAAAGGTGTCATTGATAGAACTGACTCGGGACTTTTAGCTGTGCTCTCTTCAGTGTTTGTTTCTGAACAGGAGCCATAATGAGCAAAGGAACTAATGCCCAAACGTGGAGATGACAGGAAAAATGAGTCACAATAACACATTCACCTCACAAGTCTCAAAATCCCTCCAAAGCGTAAGTACGTCGACGTACATACAGTGTAAATAGGACATAAAGCCCCCTTTAAATCATGAAATGGGCAGGATTACATGTGACTGAGCTAAGCTAACAGCAAGGGTACGTTTCCATTCTTAGAAAACAAAATAAGACTTTCAATCTTACTGCTAAACTTCTCCTCAGACTTTCTGGTATCTGTCTCCTTGCCTTTTCACAAAAGACATACTTAGAGTACTCAGGCAAGGGCTGAGGCTGACCCTCTGCATGAAGAAAGCTGGGGCCCTGCTTTTTCTCCATTCTTGTTTGACATCAGTAGAGAGGAGAAAGGGATGAACCTTAGATCCTGAGCAGCTTTGGATGTTGATGATTTCAGAAACGTAATCTTAAAGTCTCCCGCAGCCCTGTGACAGAGTCTCACAGAGAGGATGAGGAGTCAGTGAGGAAGAAGTTTTAGTTCTTGGCTGTTGCTATTTAGAACCATGAAGCCCCTTGGAGTCACACTGCTTTCTCTGAAGGGATACGATAAGACTAGAGGTAATATTACTAGTCTGTCTTTCATTTCAGCAGGTAGTTTCATTGTAAGATTGTTTGGAAAGATGAACTAGAGAAGCTTCAGGTCCATTGTCCAACATGGAAGGAGACGTTGGGCTCTGTAGTCCTTTTTTTTTTTTTTTTTTTAGGAGCAAAAGCTATAGGCAATAAAAGCTCTCAAAAGGAAAGAAGAGAGGGACATCAATCTGGTTAAAACCTCTCGAAATTATCTGCTGACATTAGGTGGGGATTTAGATGGGGATTGGTTTTTTAGGCATTAGCCTGGGCATATATCTATTTTATGTACTTCTATGCAGATTCAGTAGAAAAAAATACCTAAATATATATTTAATTCCATAGGATCCCAAAGCACTTTAAGGATTTAAACTGATAAGCCAACCTCAAAGGGACTGATTCTTGCAACTAAAACACAGACACCTCTGGGGTGAAATGTGGCAACAGTTTGACAGGCATAGCAGTAGCTTAGGCCAGAAAGGATTTATCCAATTAAAATTATGGGATGAATTTTGGCTGGCAGAATGTAATTACCAGCCTTGGAATGAATCCAGGATCCTGAGGTTAACACCCCTCCTCTTGCCAACAACCCTCCTACCTGCCAACACTCTGAGATGGAGAAGGCTGGATCTGACACAATCGCACATAATACTGTTGTGACATCTAAGTACAATGATGATGATGTGAGAAGCATCATGAACCTGATTTTTTTTAACACTCATTATGTTACTTATTTTTATGCCACATTAGGCTAGAAACCAAATGTCCACATAAATGTTAATTTCCTCAAATCTGTGTTTAAAAAGTATAATTAGAAAATAAAAAATAGATTTAAAAATTAATTTATTCCGTCAAAATAGTTACTTAGTGATTATTTCACTTCAGGAACAAAATTGGATCAAATGGTGACATTTAATCCTTGCTATATTAAAAAAAAAAAGCAGGTCCTGATTTTCTGGAAGAGAAATGTGTTCTCAAGGTTCACTAGCCTAGAAAAAAGGGAGATGCTTAATGTCTGGTTCATATTGGTTGTAACTTCGGCTAAACGGGCATGTGCAAGTACTGGTTTGGTCCTGGGGTGGGTCCAGTTCATATTCACAAGTGCTCACGGGCACTTTCTCAGGGGGGAATTTAGTAGGGGGAGTGTGTGTGTAAACAAGAGAAAAGAGCCCCCTGCTGGCGTACGTTCAATGGGTAATGACCTCATCGTTAGATTCTACTGCCCTTTAAAAAAGTCATTCATTTACATGGGGACTGTGGAGAGTTTGAATATAAAGCCGAGGAGGCGAGAAAGCAATTCTAAACTCAACGCCAAGCCTCCAGGGTCGCAGGCCCGCGGGGTGGGATCCGGGTCGGGTCGGGGTCTGGGAGGGACCTGCAGAACGGACTCCCCCAGCGCGCGGCGGCTGGAGCGCGCCCGGGGCGCCGGAGAGGCGGGGCCGGCGGCGGAAGCTGCGCGCCGGTCACGCGCGACAACTCGGCCGGGCGCCGTGCTATCTGCCGCTGCTCCGTGCGCTCAGGTCGGTTCCCCTCCCAAGCTGCGGAGCGGCCGGCGCAGCCGCTGTCCCAAAAGCCGGGACCGGGGCAGCGTCGCCGCCGGTCGCCCCTCGCTCCCCGTTCCTGCCGCTCGCAGATGCTACTCCCGGCGGGCCTCGTGGGGCAGCCGGGGGCCTCCGGGGCTCTCGCCGAGACCCTCGCTTTACTCTTGGCCCACGTGGCCCTGGGACAGTCCACGGCGGACGCGCACACGGAGACCCAGCGGCGGCTTCCAGCCCCGAACACGCGCTACCGCGGCGGGTCTATTGGCGACCCCTAAAGTGCCAACGGTGGTGCGCGCACACGAGGCAGGTGACCCGGCGGAACGGTCCGGAGCCGCCTCGCTCCCCGCGGGTGGAGAGGCAGGTTTTTGGTCTATTGCCGGAAGTAGTCGAATGGTGACCGAAAGAATGGGCGGACTAGGATCGCATTCTCTCAAACCACAAGGTGTTTGGGGGGTTTGCTCTGGGTCACTTTCTTAGCGAAGGAGGGAGAGAAATACTTACCCTTTGTACTAACAAGCTTGACTCTCCAAAAGCTTGGTTGCCGCTAATTTCCGCTTTTGCTGTGAAGGTAGATTTTTCTAACACCATCTTTGTGTGATTTAGCTGTCCACAGGGAATCAAAATGTGGAATGAGAGGATGAAACTAATCCTTTCTTTTGCACTGTTAGGGGTTGCCATAAACACCATTTGTTAAAAAGCATAATTATGTTGGGAAAGTGCCTGATGAGACAATTAAGCTACATAAACACTGAAAACAAATGAAAGCCAGAAGACGCCCACACCCCTTGTGTAAAGCAATTTTTTGTTTACATAGAAACGAGAGCGGACTGAGCTGCTTTATTACAACAATGTTATTAATGGCTGGAAAAACCTAATGACCTTATTTTTATGAATTTTCAATTATGAGATGATGGTCACAATATGAAAGCCTGCCTACAAACCTGAAATAGCCACGAAGCCCTGCATTCTCTCTAGGTTAGGATTAGGCCAATGAACAATCTTAACGAACAGAAGAGCCAGAGGATTTATGCTTCCAGAGCACTATTATTTGCACCAGCATAGTTTAGCTTAAATTTAGAAGCTTAACGTTTGTCCCACAGTTGGACACCATTCACTGCAGTATCGTGGAGACCATTACGTGACACAAAATGCCCTTATCAAGTATTTGTTGAATCAATTCATGAGGACCACATTCATTTTTCGTTACATTTAAAAGTGGTCAAAATAGGAAGGTGTAACCTTGAAAAGGGAAATTATTTTTATTATTTTGAAATATTTAAATTTCTGTAGTTCATAGTATCATTCAAAGTTGAAAATGTTTAGACCTGAAAAATGCCGTTCTGAAGTACTAAAAAGGAAGCAACCTCCAAAACCTTTGTAATTAATCCATTTTTGACGATCAGTCAGTCACATTTCTGGCATTGAGTAACATAACTATGTGTCAGATTTCAGTTCAAAGAACAAAGTCCTGTGAAAAGGTTATAAACCGATTTAGAAACTTTGGAGGTCAAAATACAAGAAGAACTCAGACAAGTAGTTGTCATGTAAAACACCCAACAAGTCACTTTTGTTTATACTGCCTATGGCATTACCCATAGAGATACCTTTTCTTTTTTGCTGGAAGAATAGTTTTTATAAGAATCAGTACGTTCAATAATCTCCCTCATTCCTCTTTTCTGCGCTTCCCCAATAAGTCTGATTTAACAAAAGGATCATGCTTAGTTGTTAAACAGTACAGAAAATCAGGGATAAGCTACGGAAGACGATGCTTAAAAGGGAATAACATATACTTCAGTGCAAAAGTTTCACTTACATGACAGAATTCAGGCTGCGTAACTTGCCTTACACTGTCTTGTATTGTTACTGTGTTCATATGTGCCCATGTGCATAACCTCATATACATGGTTTTCTGGTTGAATCAATCTGAGGATTTTAATCTCTTAGGTGTTCTCTAGAAGTGAAATGGTCAAGTGTTCATAACTGACTGGTTTTCAAAAAGCTGTGGGGTTTTTTGTTGATGAACATGAAAATATGAGTGAGGTGTACAAACTGAAATAAAGAATCATTTTTCTTCTATTCTAGAAAAATCATGTCTTCCTCTAGACTGGGACTCCGTTTGGCTGCCTGTTTACTAAACATTTCTGAAGCCAGAAGAAAATACATTGTTGAGAACATAGCAAGAGCAGCTCTTCTTGAAAAAAAATGGTAGGAATAACAGACAAGTGAAGCAAATATGTAGTGTTTAGATAATACAGTAATTTTTGTACTTGGCAGGCATTATCTGTAAAACATTCTTTCTTCCTAGATTTTCCCTGTTCTTATGTGCTGAACAGCACAGTTCTTCACATGGGAGTGTGAGTTTCTAAGATGCCCATTGTTCAGGATTTCATGCTCCTGAGGAGGATATATTTGCATAAAGGTTCAATGTTACCTTCAGGGGCTGTTTATTTGATCATTAATGAATGAGCATAATTGTACATTATGCTTTTTATTCAGCAGGTTAAATAGAAAATAAAGTTGCCAAATACCAACTACTTTTCAAAGCACTCCTGCCAGCAAAACCCATACTATTAATTACAACATTGTTATTTCTACTCTATTTACTCCCGGTAGACTTGGGAATTGCGTTTAAGTGATGTACATAAGATCCCTCAACAACTCAGAAGACTGAACCTCAAGCTTTCTTACTCCCTGGGCCAGTATTAACTAGTGATACTACTCTATTTTGCCCTTGTTAAAATGTTCATGTGATGACATACAGTTCCAGATGTCATTTGTTTTTACTTTCATACACATGCAAAACACAAGAGGAATTTACAGACTTCCAATCATTTAAGTAAACAAGCTTCGTCATTAAATAAACAACTTTTTGGCAACAGGTGAATATTAGGGTCACAGCCCTGAAGCATGTGAGACAGTATATTTTTAATTTTTGATTGTCCTTTTTGATTTGGTTACTGCTTTTCATGAGAAAGAAGTGTTTTCTCTCAGCCAATTTCTAACGATGAACACATTGAAGTTACTGTCTTGCAACTTTGCAGGAACTGGAAATGTCTGAAAATTCCTGATAATTGCTGATAAGAAAATTTCTCTGGAGTCAGTATGCACCTGTGCTTTTGCCTTCTCTTTGCGGGAAGAGCTAGTCTGGCCCTTCATTGTCAGATACGGTACCCCTAACGGGATTGGGTTACCTGTGTCTGTGAGTGAGTGAGTATGCAGAGACATTTGTGGAAGCCATACACTGATGAATGCTTGGGTCTGAACTCAAAGTTTTTATCAGCTTATTAGTGGCAGCAGCCCAATGGAATTATAGCTATTATACTCCATTACAAATACCAAACAATTTACTTCTGCTGAGATTCACAATGACAGCTCCTCCTGCCAGCAGTAATTTTTTTCTGTATGTATACTTAAGGAATTCCAGGAGAGAGTGTCTCATTCTTTCAGCATTTTATTCAATTGAATTATATGAAACTAAGAATAAAAGCTTTTCAGAAGAAGATTTAGGATGAAAAAATAATATAAAGTCATGCATGTCTTTTCTTCCAGAAGCTAGAGTATGTTGAAAAAAATTCATAAAACAGGAGGTTGTATGATCTTGTTCTTGCTTCATCTTTTATAGTTCTAAAAATGCAGGGAAGGTAGCACTGGTTAAGAAAATGACCTGTTGTTTTACAAATATTTTTAAAGGCATTTATTTTTGAGTGCAATACAACCTATGTCACTCATATTTTTTTCTAATTAAGCAATGTTAAAACATTCAGTGGCCTAGAAGGTCTGAGGTAAAGGAACCTGTGTTACAAACTTTGGGCCCACACCAGGGCAGGGCTACAGATGCTCATTTGGCTATGAGTGAGTGACATGTGTTTATCCTTTCACATTATTAAAATTAATAGTGTAGGGCTGCTGTAAATGCTATAGTTCTTGCATGTAGCTTATTTTTCCTCTCTGAAAAGATTAATTGTTAAGCTGCCAGGGGACAGGGTGACAAAGGTATAATAGCATAGCTAACGGTTTAATTACCCCTGAAAACTTTTGTCCTTCACTTTGAATTTGCTTTTGTAAGCTTAAGGGGGACTTTTAAGGAGCCTGAACCAGCCTTGTAAACTTTAAAAATAACTTTGGGGTTATGTGTGGCTGCCATACAAGGGTATGGCAGCTTTCTCCTGCAGGTTACCCATTCAGTTGAGTCACAGTCCACTGAAAGCTGGAAGTCATTAACATCTGAAGGCTGTTGGTGGCCTCTGAAAAGGAGATGGTGGAGTCAGAACAGTTTCTAATAGACAGGTGCAGGCATCCCAGAAACCTCTGCTTCAGGCACTAATTGGTTTATCCTACTTTTTCCAGATGTCAGATTTTGCTCCAGACAGTTGATTTCTGAGTTTGGAAGGAAAAATTGGCAAGGCCTACCGGTTGAGATTGATAAGGAGCAGAGTTCAGAGTGATACATTTGACAATTGAAAGAAGAGGCTACTAACTTAGACTGAATTAAGAGAACTTCGGCAAACTCAGTAGCAAGTCCAGGAAAAGATTTCACGTAGACAAAAAGGCTGGTGTATGAGCTGAGCCATCTGGTTATACAGTAAGATGCTATAACAAGTGAGTATTACCCCTCATGAATTTCATGATTAGCCAAAGTCACTTCAAAGGTAAAATCCAGAATTTTTCTATTAAACTAAATTTACTTGTATCTGAAGAAGTAAAGTATTAGGATTGCATCACACACACACACACAAATTCTTGCATTTGTTTGTTATTTTCTTTACAGGGCAGCACCATCCTGAAGTATCAGTGCTCAATATATTTTCTGATCAAGACTACAACAGATCAGTCATTACCATAGCAGCTTCTGTTGATAAATTAGGTAAGATTTCAGGTTCTTTCTTTACAAATAAACTTGGTTTCAACTTAGCATATAATCGTCTTTCAAAAGGTATATCTGTTTGGAGAGCAAAGAACTTACTGATAACTACTGGTCAACATTGGACAGATTGTCTTTAATGTTAATCATAAAATGTGAAGTTTTCTTTTGTTTATTTCTAAAATGGTCATACTACACTGCCAATGAAAACTCAGAGTAATAACATAAAACTCTTCGGTGTCTAATATGCACTTAGATATAATAATTTGATGAAAAATCTAGTTACTGAACAAGAGCAAAATTTATATACTTATGCTTAAAAAGGTATGTTTGTGTGTATACTTTTATATAATTATAAAATGTTCTGAAAATAATTTTATCAACTTGATAAAATTGAAAAAATTCAAAGTAAGCAGTTACAAAAAATATAAAGTTGTTTAAGTCTGATTAACATTACACAATGCCTCCACTTTTGGGAATAAATTGCTGGAAGAAATGTGAAACTTTGTGACAGTTGGGAGGTGGGGGTATGGAAAAATGTTGGATCTTTTTTCTCCCTTTATTTTGGATGAAAGAACAACCTATGCAGATTACAAAAGAAAAACAAGTAGTGGGACAGTAAAATTAGAGCTGCTCCTTTAGATGTGATTGAAAGTTTTGTGATTATTATTTACAATTTTACATTTTAAGGCGATTCTGTTCTGGCTGCTTGCAGTGAGGCCTTTGAGTCTATTGACATGGAGGATCACGAAGGGATCCACCCTTGCCTGGGAGCAGTAGACCTGATCCCTATTTACCCTCGCTCTCGTGTTGGAATGGAAGAGTGTGGAGCTGTGGCCAGATGTAAGCAAGGTTGGGGTCATGTGTTATTCCTTAGTGGAAACTGTTTTTACAAATGAGAACAGCTTGTGACAATGTAATCATTCCTCACCTCCTTGGGAAAACGCGATTGTGGAGGCTTTATCAGCAGTAAGGCTGCGTGGGTCGCTGTGGCACACCATGTCTTTGTGGCTCATTCTTCCACTACCCGCTCAACACGATGGAGCAGTAAGTGATGTGGGATGCAGATCAACCATTCTGTCCCTTACAAATTCACGACAGATCCTGAGGAAACAGCAGTAGTTTCTAATGAGTTCCTTAGACTCTTCAGGGCAAAACAACGGTGTTCTGCCCATCTGTGTCCTATTTTCTTGAGCAGGAGTAATGATGAGGTTGAAAAACCACTTAAATGTTAACTCCTACCCCTTTTTCCTCTGATTTTTTTCCTTTTTTCCCTATGCACAACTCTTTTTAAGATTTGCTTTAGAACTGAACTGTCACATGCTTGATTTCAGCTCCAGGGGTTAGTTTAATTTGGAAAGTTTGAGCTATGTCACTTGAGGTGTGTTTGAATTAGGCAAATTGGGAGAAAAGAAAGACCTTGTGCCTGGACTGTCTAGCTGCACTATGGTTAATTATGAGATGCAGAGGCTCATAACCTTTGGGGAAAAGCCTGCTTTAGGATAATTGCATTCTTCTCTGTGTGACCTCAGAAATCCCGCTATGATGTTGCCTCATTTTTATTTAATAGTGAATTGTCCAGCATTTGGTATGTATACTTGGACTCTAGCTGAGCTACATCAAGTACTAGAAATACGAAATAAGACTTGTTTCCAAAGGCGTACCTCACTGCTTGTGTTGCATTTTAATGTGACCTGACAATCTACGGAATATTTCCCAGGGAAATCTTGGCCCCAAAATTGTTTTACTTTTTATCTGAGAAAGAGTTAAAATTCAGCATGAGGGAAAATATATTTCACACAAAAAGGAAGAGTTCAGAATTGTCCACACCAGAATAATGATTTTGTCTTCAAAACAATTATGTTCAATTACATTAAGTCTCAAATTAGCGAGTACATGAAGTTCTTCATTACATCAGCACTAGTCCACCCCAGATGTTCTTCCTGTGTAGGAGACGGTTGACAATCGGAGGGTCTGGCCACAGTATTTCTCCCTTCCCTTGCCCTTTTGCTTCATTGGCAGCTACTGTACCTCATGATTTAAACATGGACATTTCTAATTAAATGAGAGCTCAGCTGCATTCTTGAACTAATTTATAACATTTGATTTGAAATGTAATAGCTTCAATCTTCATCTGATTAAAAACAGTCATGTACTGTACATGGTTACTATTTTGATGCTCCAACATGCAGTTTTTATTTTTACATTCCCCTTTCTACACAGCTGTTCATCTAATATCATCCAAATTAAAAAAAAATTTTTTTTTGTACAGCATGCCCAGGCATTCTTATGAGACAGAAGTATTCAAATTCTAGGATCTCGCTGTCCTCAGAACAGTGAAGGGATGTTTTCATAGGATAATCCCTTCTCAGGGAAACCAACTTTCAGATGATAATCTAACTAACTATCTTTGGGAAAAAGGATGATGAAAAATGTTCTAGTGATATAGAGATAGTTAATATCAGTATGCAGAATTCATACATGCTTTGTATGCAAAAATTCTGAATAATGTATTTCAGAACTTGTTGATAGCTTGCTTGTACGTACCTTAAGGTAGTAGTTCTTCAAATGAGGCTCAAAATTGCTGTTCAGATCACTTATAAATAATGTCAAAATCATTTGCAAGTTTTTATGGGTATGCATTTGTGAATGCATGCATAGCCATACACACTCACTGTATAATTATAGTGTAGGAGCAACTAGAATGAAGGGTACAGCAATGCAGAGATACAAAGGTAAGAGCAGCCTGTGCTTGGGACCTATCAGGGTGGTGGCCAGAACTTAGCGATGTGGTGGAGTAGGAAAGGCATTGCTGGGAATGTTAAGAAAGAAGTTCCCAAGGTTAGATCATGAAGTCTTACATACCACGTTAAGTAATTCACACATTATCCTAAAGACAAGGGGAACTACTGGAGAGTTTTAAGCAAGAAAGTAGTATGATTGGCTTTGAATTTTAGAAAGATTACTCTTCTGCATGTTGGAGAATAGACAGGAAGCAGGCAGACCAGTTAGGAAGGGTAATGGTGGCCTCAGATAACAGAGAATACAGGGAATGGAGAGACTCCATAGGATGTTGGGGGATGGGAACAAAGCAGTGGTATGAAAATGTCATCACCGATGATGGAAGAAAGGGGATTTGGGTGGAATGATTTTTTTTTTTAACCTGCTGTCACATGGCAGTTAGATATATAAAATTGAGAGCTAGGAGACACATAGATGTAGTTCATATTTATTTAAACTTTGTAATTTAAAAAACTGTTTTAGACTTCAGTTTTCATTTTCTATAAAAACCGTATTTGATCTATTAGGCTGCATCTCATTTTCATCTCTGTTGTTCTTCTAAAATTTTCCTCCCTTTTCCCCTTTCTCCATCCTTCCCTCCCTTCTTTCCTCCCTTTCTTTATTTAGATTGTTATCAGAATGATACGTGCATGAGGCTGAAAGTCAAATACTCCAGTGTTTGTTACCCAAACTCTAAATACCTATGTAACTTCCCTTTCCCCCTCACCATACACACACTTCAATTTCCTTCTCCCAAAGACAAGTACTTTCAACTCTTTTATTATTTGGAACTCAACTGCAGCTATCTACCTGTCACACTTATATTGGTACTTTCTGGTTTTTCAGTGTTAGGAATTGTCTGTTGACTTCTCACTACAGAAAATGAGAATTTAGCTTCTTTTCTCCCCACCCCTAACCCCCAACACACACTCTCTCTCTCTCTCTCTCTCTCTCTCTCTCTCTCTCTCTCTCTCTCTCTCTCTCTCTCTCTCTCTCTGTGTCTCACTTCCCAACCCTTTCTCCCAGTATAGTTGTATCAAAAATTGAGTCTGGATTTCTTTAGGACAACTGCCATCATGGGATCTCCCTTTATCATCATCTCTTTATCTTTCTCTATGTTGGATACCCTGCCTGGTGCCTGAATACTGTATCTTCTTTTTTTCTCCCCATAGTTATATCCTGTTTGCTGGAACATGTCTTTTGCTAGCTTTCTAAAAAAAAAGGGAGAAAGTACATTTTGAGACCTTGCATATATGAAAATGTTATTATTCAATCTTCACACTTAATTTTTAGTTTGGCTAGGTATAGAATTCTAGTTTAGAAATAATTTTCCTTTACTTTGAAGATACTGTATTATTGAATTCTCATTTCCATGTTGCTATTGAGACTTCTGAAGCCATTATGATTCTTGACATTTGTATGTGATCTGTCATTTCTCTCTGGTAGCTGGTAGGATCTTCACTTTGTTCTCAGTGGTGCGATATTTTTGTGACATGCATTTGTATAGTTCTGTTTTCACCCATAATATTGGATATAGGATAGGTCCTTTGAGTCCTTGAAACTCTTGTCCTTCAGATTCTAATAATTCTCTTGAATTATTACATTGGGGTTTTCTTCCATTTTCTTAATTCTTTCTGGAAGCCCCATTATTTGAATATTGGAACTGTCAAACTGGTCTCTAATTTATTTTCTCTTTTTTCCATTTCTCTAATTTACATTATGCTTTCTGACAAATTTCCTTGAGAGCACAAGTTTTCAGTAAGTTTTCCTTTCTTCTGTATTAGTTTCTTCCAGGTGCTTTTATTTACTCTCTAAATGTACCTTTTATTTTATTTTATTTTTAACTTTCTAGTCATGTCTCATGAATGCACTATGAAGGATAATCTTCTTCTTCCTACATGGTGTGTATTCTCCACCTACCCACCCCACATCCCCCCTATCCCCACGCTGAGCTTTTTCTTGTTTGTTTTAAAGGTTCTCCTTGGATGTCTGATGATCCTTGGCTGGCTGCTTACTCAAAAAGGATAATAAAAGGCTGAATGGATACTTTGAATTTGTAGGTGGGGTTTGTCAGCTGTAGGCTGATCTGTCTTGGTCATTTCTTTGGGGAACTCCTGTTTCAGTGTTTTGCTGGTCTCTTGGGCTGTTCAGGTTCCCCAGAGATCTTCCAGTCTTCAGCCTGGAGCATAGACACAGCTGTGCATGTTTCAGGAGCTGAGTTGTTCAAGAATGCTGGAAGAATCTCAGCAGTTAGGTTGTAAATATTCTCTTAATTGCCTTCTTTTCATTAATTATCCCTGCCCTAAAGGTGCCCAATATTCTCCAGCCCAGACAACATGAGTTTTACGTCTTGTGTCTTCTGTCAGGATGGGAGCAGGGCAGTTGCCTGCCTGTGTGGAGGAGGGGTGAGATCTAACTACTGCTTAAACAGACCCCCACCTCCAGATAGTCTCCCTCATTTGAACCTTGCCTGTACCTTCCATCACAAAGTGAGGCTGCCAGTTCTGGTTGTTTTCAAGTACCTGTGGTATAAGTCAGATTGCTCTCTGCTGTCCCTCCTGCTGCCATAGGTCTGCTAAATCACCTACCATTCTTACATCATCTGCTCTCCAAGTTCCAGTGCTGTTGCTTTCTTTTCCATTTCTATGTGAGTGAGTCAATGCTTTTAAAAACTCTCTCTTTACCATCTTTTTCCTGAGGTTTTTGGAAGAAGTGAAAATAAACATAGCAATCTGCATTCCATCTTTACTTGAAGTCCCTACTTCCTAACTCTTCTTTATGATTTTTAATTATCTTGGATCCTTTAATAACAATGAATTCACTCACCTTGGAATCAGTGGTAAATTTACAGGAATATTATTCTTTAGTCCAACATCTAATTCAGTATTGAAGATTTTAGTCTCAATTTCTGGACTTCTATAGGTGTCTGATAGACAGTTCCTCTGAAGGGTCTCTGTGGGTCACAGTGCTTCCTCTACTTTTTTCACTTCTTCTTACTCAGTGTTTTCAGTGTATCTCTGAAACATGACCCTTCATGAGAAGCATTGAGTGAAAATGGAAGG